GCTTGTCTTAAAACAATCAATTATCTAATTGAGACATCAACTAAGTCCACACAGTAGAAGCACACCAACCTGTATGATCAAGGATTATAAATAAAATTCAAATCCAGAGGGGAGGAGAAGGTATCGGCTTAAATTCTGAAGACCCAGATCATTGATGATGATTGAAAGAGCACAATGCACAAAAGGCAAAACTTATTTTTACCAATTAAGCTAAACTGTTGTTTGGTTTTAAAGATAATTTCAAGGGATATATTTTTTAATCATTTTATTAAGGGTTCATACAACTCTTATCACAATCCATACACACATCAATTGTGTAAAGTGCATTTGTACATTCATTGCCCTCATCATTCTCAAAACATTTCCTCTCCACTTAAGCCCCCGGTATTAGGTCCTCATTTTTTCCCCTCCTTCCCCGCTCCACCCTCCTTCATGAGCCCTTGATCATTTATAAATCATTTTGTCATATCTTGCCCTGTCCGACGTTTCCCTTCACCCACTTTTCGGTTGTCCGTCCCCCCAGGGAGGAGGTCACATATAGTTCCTTGTAATTGGTTCCCTCTTTCCTACTCACTCTCCCTCTACCCTCCCAGTATCGCCACTCACAACACCACTGGTCCTGTAGGGATCATCTGTCCTGGATTCCCTGAATTTCCAGTTCTTATCTGTACCTGTGTACATCCTCTGGTCTAGCCAGACTTGCAAGGTCGAATTCGTGTCATGATAGTGGGAGCAGGGAGGAAACATTTAGGAACTAGAGGAAAGTTGTATTTTTCATCGTTGCGACATCGCACCCTGAGGCTCATCTCCTCCCCGAGACCCCTCTGTAAGGGGATGTCCAGTGGCCTACTAATGGGCTTTGGGTCCCACTCCGCACTCCCCCCATCATTCACTATGGTAAGATTTTTTTTGTTCTGATGATGCCTTATACTTGATCCCTTCGACACCTCGTGGTTGCATAGGCTGGTGTGCTTCTTCCATGTTGGGCTTTGTTGCTTCTGAGCTTGATGGCCGCTTGATTACCTTCAAGCCTTTAAGACCCCAGGCGCTATATCTTTTGATAGCCGGGCACCATCAGCTTTCTTCACCTCATTTGCTTATTCACCCGCTTTGTCTTCAGAGGTTGTGTCGGGAAGGTGAGCATCATAGAATGCCAATTTAATAGAAGAAAGTATTCTTGTGTTGAGGGAGTACTTGAGTGGAGGCCCAATGTCCTTCTGCTACCTTAATACTAAACCTATAAATATAGGCTCATAGATCTATTTCCCCATCCTCATATAAATATATTTGCATATGTACATGTCTTTATCTAGACCTCTATAAATGCCCTTTTCCTCCCAGCTCTTTCCTGTATATTTCCCTTGATTTTCCTCCTGTCCCACTATCATGCTCAGTCCCCACCAGGATTGCAGCACTTCCTCTTTGTTACATTCCCCTTGATCATGCCTACCAGGTCTCCCACATCCACCTCCCCACCAATTTGGATCACTTGTTGTTCCCTTGTCCCTGGGTTTGTTAACACCTCTTCCCTTCCCCCCAGCCCCCCTCTCCCATGTCCCCCCGGAACTGTCAGTCCCGTTGTTTTCTCCTCCAGATTTCAAGGGATATTTGTGTAACTGCTGAAGGATGATCTCTGAGCAATACTGGTAGCATCTCCTTTCTCCATGGCTTCAGAAAGTCTCGAGTCCATGTTCTGCATTTCCCCCTTTTGTCAGAATTCTCTATGGACTCTTTGATCAAAATATTTGGTTATGGTAACCAGGCACCTTCTAGCTCTGCTGGTCTCATGGCAAAGGAGTAAGCTGTTCATGTAGGCAATTAGCACACATTCCATCTCCTATTCCTAATGTTCTTTCTGATCTGACAAATAGAGACCAAATGTTGTGTCTTAGATGACCACTTTCAGGTTTTTGTAACCCCAGGAACTACTACACAACAAACTAGGAAGCAGAATAGAAGCACTGAGCACCAATTAAATGGACTGTGCATGAAACCTCCAAGCCAAGGAACCAAATCCCGTGAGGTGTTTGATTGTTCATAGCCTCAGCACTTGTCATTGTTGTAAATATAATTATCACAAATCCTTTTGCCAAATCAACTTTCTACAGGTGCACAATTTATTTAACTGGTATTACAATCATTTTCTGTGCAACTCTACCCTTAATCGATGTAATTTTTCCCATCACCATTAGTTCGCCCTTTTCCCCCACCCCACCCACCCCTGGTAATCATTAATAAACTTTGGTCCATATACTGTTATCCTCTGGCCTTTTTATGTAAGTGAAGTCATAACAATATTTGTCCTTTTGTGTTTGGCTTGTTTCCCTTAACATAATGTCTTCAAGCTCCATCCATACTCTCAGGTAGGATCTATATTTGATAATACTTAACTGGGTTTTTGGTGAAAGTTTACACTGCAAGTTAGAGTTCTATTTCACACTTTCCACACCGATGGTTTATTGACAGTGTATTGATGTTCTCTGTGTGCTCAGTTTGTTCTCTCTCCAGTGCTCTAGTTGCCCTGCCCCCTTATCTTTCCCTTGGAGGAATTATAGACCTTTTTTTTTTTTCATATTGTTAGTTTGTAATTAGGGCACGGACGACCTTATGAAAAATATATATAATTGTAACTCTGTTTTTTTCTTCCATCCAACTTAAAATCAACTTTTGTGACTTAGAATGGTCTGTGAAGTCATGAGGCACCAAATAATTTTTCTTGTCTCAAGATACATGAGCTTGTGGTTTGTGTGTAGACTTGTTTCTTCTTTGGACTTCTCATTAAGTTCTTACTGTTTTTACTCCTGGTGAGTAAAGACCTGTAATATTTTAGATGGCAGCCCACATGTTTTTAAGACCCCTGGCCCTAATTTCACTAGGATGCATATCTGATATTTGCCATGGTATATTTTTAAATAGTAAGACTTTCACAGTTGCCTGGGTGGCACAAATAGTCACGTGCTTGAACACTCGCTGAAAGGTTGATCATTTGAGTCCACCCAGAGGTAGCTCAGAAGACAGGTCTGGCAATCCACTTCAGGAAGGTCAGCCTATGGAACAGTTCTGTCCTACACACAGGGCTCCCCTTGACGGGAAACAAACAACAATTTCACAATTTTATACTTACAGACACACTGTGAGAGACCAAATTAATCATGTCCATAAGGCATTAGAAGGGATTATCAAGACAATGGGTGTAGGAGAGAAACAGATTATGTGTCTTTTGTACCCCACCCCTCACACACACACTTTTCACTTTAAAGCAGTAGCAGAAAGATGGGTGTCTTAGAGCTAAGTCATTTATCCTTTTTGTAAAACAGATTATGTAAAGTAGGAATATTACAGTGGAGGCATTTACTTTCTTTTTTTTTTTAATCATTTTATTAGGGGCTCATACAACTCTTATCACAATCCATAGACACATCAATTGTGTAAAGCGCATTTGTACATTCATTGCCCTCATCATTCTCAAAACATTTCCTCTCCACTTAAACCCCCAGCATTAGGTCCTCATTTTTCCCCTCCCTCCCTCATGAGCCCTTGATAGTTTATAAATTGTTATTTTGTCATATCTTGCCCTGTCTGACGTCTTCCTTCACCCACTTTTCTGTTGTCCGTCCCCCAGGGAGGAGGTCACATATAGTTCCTTGTAATCGGTTGGAGGCATTTACTTTCTTACGGCTTGTTCATTTTCCCCAAATAACTCTTAATGATTGGCCAGTCTTAGCCTCACAAATCCTTTTCAAAATTCCAAAGTTCTGGCAAAAATTCCCAGAAGCTTGGGATCTATTGCTGTTGTCTAGCCAACTTAGTGACCTTTGGGGAAATTATTCCCCAGTAGGCCTCCTTTTCCTCATCTCTAAACTAAATTCTGTGGTTTCTCAGGTATCTTCGAACTCAAAAAGTAGAAAATCCTGTGAAATTTCATTCTGAAAGTTAGAATTGACTTTCTAGCTTATAAAACTGATTATATTATATAGTAAACATTTTTCTAATATGAGGGTTTCAGGAAATTTTTTCATTACTTTTTAATTCTATTCTTCTACAAACTTTTTGAAGCCTTCCACCACCCAAGTATCTAGGTTGGCAAATATCTGTTCCTTGTTTATTCTGAGCTGGTTTTATTCTAAGCCTTTGGTGTCCTGCCTTTGCATTTAATGTCATATCTGTTATGTGGCCCCTTTGACTCCTTAGAACTGAGGGACACGCAGAAATGTTTCATTTAGAAATCTCACATTTAATGTGAGAAAAAAAAGGTTATTATTAATTCTGTAAGTACGAGGATTACTCAATATATGGGATTTGGTAATTAATTGGTTGGCTACTTAGAAAAAAATTTAAGATCCTGTTTTTTACATATCATACTCCAAATTAAGTTTCAGATGTATTAAAAAATCATAAATCCAAAAATAGAAATGAATTATCTTGGCTTAGAAATGAACATTAAAAAGCAAAGTGAGGACATTTTATAGCAAATATTACAGATAATTTTTATATTTTATTTACAGAATTAATGCAAATCTATGAAAGCACTGGATCCCAGAAAAACTAGAAAGAGAGCTTAAGAGAAAAGGCACATATCCTGAAACAATTTTGAGAATGTAACTTTTATAAGATTCTCTGAAATTCCCTTCTTTGATAATATTAATAACTAATGCCCTTGATAGCATTTTTTTAAAAAATTTCCCTGTATATACTATAGCTGCTAAAGAAATCTCCCATAAGGAAAAAAAATTATATTAAAGATACTAAATAAAACAATATATGGCACAGTTGAGCCTGAGCTATTAGTAGAAGGGCAGTTCAAACCCACCCGAAGACCCTTTGGGAGACAGGCCTGTGCATCTGCTCTGCACACGAGATTAGAATTTGCCCAGAGTTTGGAATTCACTCAGCAATTAACAACAACAAAGCAGCTTGTGAGAATTTTGAAAGACTTGATAAGAGTTTTCTGTCTGCTCTAACCACAAAATACTTACTTATTCTTTTCTTTTTTCTAACAGGTATACATTAATTATTTGAAAGCAGTTAAACAATGGAGCCAGATATCATTCGAATGTACTCTTCCTCCCCACCACCACTGGACAATGGAGCTGAGGACGATGATGATGATGAATTTGGGGAATTTGGTGGGTTTTCAGAAGTTAGCCCTTCTGGTGTAGGATTTGTTGATTTTGACGCACCAGATTATCCTCGTCCCAAGGAAGAGTTTGTACCTGCAAACCATTTTATGCCAATTCATGATTTCTCAGAAAATGTAGGTAGCCTCACAAGCTTTAAACCCTTGAAACACGGCAATGAGGAGACTGGCACTACTGAACTTACACCTGTGAAAGGGCAGGCCGGTGTTTTACTTTCTGCCACCAGCAAAGAAATAGTTTCCCCTCAAACTTTAGATACTTCTATTGATGGCATGAAAATTCCCCGAGATTTGAATACAGCACTGGAGCAGGCGCAGAATGTTGGAACACCTGGAGGTTTCTCCCCAGGAGATTTTAGAACTGATTTAACTGTGGTTCATCAAAACCAGCAGTCAGAGAGCTGCAACGGTGAAAAGCCTCCTTGTCTGGAGATCCTAACAAATGGATTTGCAGTATTGGAAACTGTCAATCCTCAGGGAACAGAGGATCTGGACACTGTAGCTGACTCAGAGGGCCTAACGCCTCGGAGCACTGAGTATAACTTAGACTCTGCACCTAGCCCTGCTGAGGAATTTGCAGATTTTGCCACTTTTTCCAAAAAGGAAAGGATCCAGCTAGACGAAAAAGGATGTACAGTTTTAAAAGATAGAGAAGCACTAACGATTCAGGAAAACAATAAAATTAACAGAGTCAATGAACTGAATTCCATAAAAGACCTGTCCTTGGACCGAAGCTCTGACAACCAAGGAGACACTGACAGCAAGGATCAGGTTGGCATTTCTGAAGTAAGCATAGAGAGTAGCAGAGGTTTCAGTACTGAGGAGCAAGGTCCTGATGCCCTGCAACAAGATGCCTTGTTACATTCAAGTGCTCAATCACATGCTCGGAGTTTGGCAGCCACAGAGGATCACTCAGAAGCCAGTAGGAGAGAACAGTGGCAAACCGAGGGAAAACTGGATGTATTTACTCCTAAAAGTGCCGACTACCTATGCATGGATTACATTAAAACTAATGATGCCGCCAATGAAGTTGGTTCTCCCAAAGAAGAAATGACCAAGTTTACCAAGCCTCAAAGCCCCAGCATTCTTCCCACAGAAGAAAACGTTATGAATGATTCTCAAAGTCTAAAAAATGGTGACGGTAGGAACGACTCTGTGACTGGTAGCGATACAAATGAGGATGATTTTGGTGCCTTTGGCACAGCCTGTGGCACAACTCCACCGTTTGCTACTGGCACTCAAGAATCGATGAGTGATGTCACTTTTGAGGAGTCCTCAGAACACGTTCCACATTTTAGTGAACCAGTTGATGACTTTGGAGAATTTGGGGATACTAATACTGTTTCTTGCCAAGAAGTGACACTCACCGAGTCAGACTCGAAACCTACTTCTGATGGCTTATCAGAGGGATGTCAGCTGGCCAGCAAGTCTTCTGGGACAGGCATTCAGCCTGTTTCAAAACTGAAAAGGGGGCAAGAAGGTGAATTTGGAGATTTTGATTCTGTGCCAAATAGTCAGAATGACTCCAGTGGTTTTCAGGACGCTGATGATTTTGCAGACTTCAGCTCAGCTGGTCCCTGTCAGGTGGCAGATTGGGATGCTTTTGAGGAGGGGCAGAAAGAGAATTGCTCATGGGCTGCCTTTGGAGACCATCAGGCTGCTGAATCTCATCATCGAAAGGAGGCCTGGCAGTCGCATAGGACAGATGAAAATGTTGATGCTCCAGGTACCCCCACAACTCACAGAGTCCCAGTAGCAGCTTCCAGAGGAGCCGTTGCTGCTGGCCATTTTCAGGAATCCAGCACTGCAGTTCAGGTATACAAATTTCTTCTATTTTGTATGGCATATTAATAGCCAGGAAGTTTCCTAACTTAGCTTTTCAAAAAACCTTTAAAAAGAAATTTTATGGGGTGCCTGCTAAAGGAATCTTCTGATATATATTACTTGACCTGTGTGTGGATTAGTTAACCTTTTCCACAAGGCTTGAGCCAACTAGACAGATAGCCCTATAGTAAAGCTTGGTAAGGTTATTCTTTCATCATAATTGGTCAACTCTGTGTTTTGATTTGTTGATGAATGTAAATAGCATTTATGTCAAACTCCTTTCGTTAGTAAAATAGCAGTTTAAGTGAATCCTTGGTTTTTACCTTTACACTAATTTTAAAAGAAGGTTAAATTGAGATTTAAAAGAAGTTGTTGTTTTTTTTAATTTCAAAAAAAGATGTCTGTTGGTTTTTATTTTGTTCATCGTAGACACCGAAGATTTGAAATTTACTTGTAAATTTGAAGCATGCCTGTGCAGAAGGCTGTGGTCAATTGAAAGAACAAGAATTTTGAAAATATGGTTTGGACCTCATAATTTAGGCCACTTTTAAGAGGCCTAGTGTGAAGGCGAGGGGGGGGTTAAGGCTTAGACCTAGAATAAGAACAGCCATAGGTTGACTTACTGTGGTTGTATTTATTTGCTTTTAATTTCTTAATGTGTGTATTTATGGTCACTGTCCTTAGGACATATAAGTGTCAGGGAGACTATTTCCATCTCCTCCCTCTCCAGCGTCTGTACTTCATCCTTTTCTGGGCAAAACTCATCCAAAGAAGCTTCCATAAGTTTTATTTTTATTTATTTTTTAATCATTTATTAGGGACTCTTACAGCTCATAATATCCCACACATCAATTGTATCAAGCATATTTGTACATATGTAGCCATCATCATTTCCAAAACCATAAGTTTTATTTTGACTTAAAGTAGTCCCAAGAAGCACAGCTTGCTTGCTATCCAAGTTGTTCCCTTGCCTGGAGTTGTACTATGAATTAAATTTCCCCACTACGAGTTAAATTTCCCTGTTCTCTACCTTGAGGGAGGACGGGAGAGGGCTGAGTAAAATTGGACATTCATTTTATATTGATAATTGATAATGTTAAAACATTGTGAATAAAGTCAGAATCTACAAACTTTAGTTCTCGTTATCTTTTGGTAAGAAAACCATTTTTATTTGGAAATATTTCTGTAGTCTGGGTGTTAATTGAAATTGGTTACACATCGTTGCTTTGACATCTTGGGTGCAATCAGATGTTAGAGAAATTGCGGTGGCATCATTTGGTGTGCACTGCTGGTCACTTTTCACTTGACTTAGTGTGTCTGAAGAGTTTAATTTGCTGATTCGACATATTACATGGTTTCGACTAATGTGTATCATTCCTACTGAGTAATTTATTACTGAGGCAGAAAATGATGAACTAATTATAATGAAAATTGAAGATTACTGCTTTTGATCTTACCCTTTCATTACTTAGTTTCATTTCACAACTAAACTGTAGGTGGCACTGGTACTGGAATACCTTTCCTTTGTAGCCTTAGAACTTTGAAACAAATATAGCCACTCAAATAGAGTTCCTTGTATCATGACTTTATAATTTGCTAATTGGAATTTAGATCGTAATGAATCATGTGAACTTTTTGAATGTAATAGCTGAGTTCAAATTTTGACTCACCCTCTTGTAAGCTTTATGATTTTGGACAAGTTACTTCTCTGAATTCACTTGTTTATAGGAAGGAGATGATGTTTACTTCAAAGGATTTTTGTATGGATAAAGTGAAAGTAAATGCGAATATAAGTAAAACAATACTCAAAATACCATGTTTTGTAGTAAAATTTAGTTTAGTTTTGTTCTTAAGATAATTTTATTGGGGGCTCTTACAGCTCTTATAACAATCTATACATCAGTTATATCAAGCATGTTTGTACATACTGCCATCATTATTTTCCAAACATTTACATTCTATTTGAGCCCTAGGTATCAGCTCCTCGTTTTACCTTCCCTCCCTCCCCATCCTCGTAACCCCTTGATAAATTATAAATTATTGTTGATTTCATATTTTATACCAATCGCTGTCTCCCTTCAGTTTTTGTTGTGAAAAAAAAATGACGACAAAGATGTGGTAAGGTGCACTGAGACTACTGATTGGCTTGAGAGCCAACAGGTAATCTGGTCCGGCACAGACCTCAGGCTTTTCTTTTGCAGAATGAATGGCACAAATTGAGCAGAATTTTCATGTTGGATGAAGTAGAGGAGAAACTTCTAGAAGGGCCCCCGAATGGGCTAGGAGGAACAGTTTGGGGGGGAGAGTCGAGGAAGGAAAGTGGGTCAGCCCTGCTGCATAAGTGGCCGAGCCAGTCTCAACAGATCACACAGGGACTTCTTCCTTGCCCATCTTCTTCTTCCCATACAGAGAATTCCATTGACTAACATGTTCCTTACAACAGTCTGACAGCTGCAGTGTTGGGGAAGCACAGAATTCGTCACAGACCAGTGGCTTGACTTGCTTCATTCCTGTGGAAGCCTACCTAAATGTAACTAGTGCCCAGAACAGAGTGCTGGCAAGTGGCTTTGCCCAATTCCTGCTTTCACTAAAGGCTGTGAAGCTCTTTTTTGGATTCAAGACTCGATAAAATTCAATTAGACAACTATGGGAGTAATTCTTGGCTTCGTGAAGTGAGACAAAAGGTATAGTCATTTCAGATTCCTCCATTTTTTCACTATATTTGGTATGTGACATTGTCCAGGGCCCAATTTTTTAGTACTTTTTTTTTTTACCCTACCAAAGAGGTATGTTACAATTATACCTATGCAAGGAAGCTTCAAAAAGTTCATGGAAAAATGAAGTTAAAAGTTAAGGGAATTTTTCTGCCTGCTTTTTAAAGCTCCCTCAGATAACTTCCTTGGGTCATTATTTTGTTGCATTAATTTGTTACTTGATTGAGAAAAAGTCAACCAAGAACAAATCTGTTCAAACTTAGAAAATGCCCTCAAGCTACTTCTCAGATGTGGACCCAATAATCCTCAGGTTCCAGCTTTGGAGTCAAAGTCACAGTGTGAACATGTTGAGAAGTACAGTCTTCTCTCTTGGGTGACTTTGTTTCCCCCTTTGCGAGCACAGAGTTCTTTATATTTCATTCTCTTGCCAACATTCTCATATATTGTTGAAAAGCAAATGTTATCATCTCCATGGTGTAGATGGGAAAGATGTCAAGATGGTTGTTCTGTTTTAGAACTAAGATTTAAAACCACAAAATAATAAACAAGCAAACCCTCCTTTCTCAATCCTCTTTTCCAAAAGACTGTTCTGTACATTGTTATAGCTTTTCAAAAAAATGTTTAAATTTTGTATGTTCCAGAAACTAATTTTCATTGAAATAGCCAGAGTGCTTTTTCAGCCTGTGTAGGGGAAAGGCTCATATCATATGCACTGCATTGGACCCTGAGCTATTGCCCAGTGCTAAAATACCACTCTGGATGTGATTTGAGTATTTAGGTAATTGGTAGATTACCTATTAGTTGTCCAATTAATAATATTACCGGAGAAAATGTTGTTAGTTGAAGGCTGGTATTTGAGAGCTTTAACAATTAAGAGTATGACAAGGAAAAAGAATAGCATGCCTCAGACTTTTCTAGAGTATTTTAAGTTGCCAGTTTGTTCACCAGGAAGTCAGTGTTCTTAAACTGGGAACAGCGTTTTTTACCTTCATTTATTTAATCACTTACTTCCGGTTTTGCATAGGTTTTCCCTTTAGGTAAACATTTGAGTTTTAGGACTGAAAGCAAAGTGAGAACAGGATAAGAGAACTCGACGGAAGGCTTTGGTTCGCTAGCACTTTGTTTATGTAGATGACATTTCCTTCTTGCTACCCTCCCCCTCAGAAACGTGACATTCTGGTCTTTAATTCCAAACTAATACTTCATTCAATTTATTTCAGAAACGACGGAGAAAAAGACAAATCATCACAATGGGTTACCCCTATTTATGTATAGCTTGAAAGTGGGAATTGATAAATATACAATTGTAGGTTATACTTGATATCTTACTTAATATTTAATGGTAGTGAGGCACAAGATATCCTTTCAAATGGAAGATTAAATTACCCAGTGGATTTTATGTTTCTTGTAAACTTCCATTTCAGTGCAAGCACCTAGTGCTATCAATATAAAACTATTGACATGCATCAACTTCTGGTCCAAAGCAAAAAAATTGGAAATACTTGAAGGAGTTTAGAAATAGCCTACGAAGCAGAGTCTAGAATCCCACATGCTCGTTGTAGGCCCCGTTGAAAAGCTGAATGAGGCTTGCAAAACATTTCATATTTGTATACTTTATCTATAACAAAGGGAGCCCCTATGTCCATGTACAGACGGTTGTGTCCTGTATGACTGAGACATGTCAGTTGGGAAGCTCTGCTCTAGACAATCAGGCGGAGTTGCCCCAGTGGGGAAACTGAAATGCAGCTTTTACACCCCTGGCTTTCTTCCCACACCCCAAGACAGGAATGTAAAACGAAACTGTCAAGTACAGTAGTGGAAATGGTAAATGTATACAACATGCTTTGTCCCCATTGATTAGCTAAAACCATCAGATATTTCATCGTATTTGCTTTCCCAGAAAACGAATCTGGCTTTAAAAAAGCCAAACATAATTATGGAGATATCCAAGGTAGTGAAAGACCCGGATAGGAAAACAACTACATGAGAAGTTTAGGAAAGAAGAAAATACTGTAAAAGCCAGTGCCCCAAGGTTTCATTATGACTTTGGGGGGCACCCTGAAAATAAATATAAAGAGGAACAGTGGGTAAGCGCTCAACTGCTACCAACAGTCGGCGGTTTGAACCCAGCAGCTTCTCCTGGGAAGAAAGGTGGTGTGGTCCACATCTGGACAGATCACAGCCATTCTCCTGTGTCCTCTAAGCTTACAGTGAGCCCAAAGCAACTCAACAGCAATGGGTTTTGAGTACACGCACAGAGTACATTTGAGTGTATTC